TGTTCCTATTATAAATAAAGCAGCTATAATATACTCTCCCGATTATATAAGCCAATAAGTAGTATATTAATTATAGATAAAATCTTATCCTATAGAGCAAGAATCGCTTGTCATCTTACATATTATTATATATTAAACGGGTTGCCGGTTATCGTACAATCGGGAATCGAAGGAACAGAGCTAGCTTAGAATGCTAGCTAAGACCTCTTAAGAACACCGGCACGACCAACCTCCTCTAAACACGAATATCAGTGGAACCAAGACACTTCTAGATTCACTCGAGATATCACGGAATTCCCTAGTCTCAGGGCTATACGGCAGCCTAAATCTGGTCCTAAAAGGTTCTTCCGTTCAGCTATAATTGTCTATATAAGACAGCATGTCCGCTAGTAGATAGATATAGAATCATTAACTTTAACACCTCTTCTATACACTAATACACTATAAATAAATTCCGTTGAAAATCCTACCTTATACTTCTTCTTCCCTTCTATTACGTAGTCTTACGTGATTCCTTAATTTCCTAAAATTCCGCTTTTGCTTATATACCTTTAGAATTATATTAGAAATATATAATTCCTAATTAAGTAAAAGATCCTCTTCCTTAATAACGTCCCTTAGTTTAGCCCTTAGTAGGTATATCGCTAGCTTACTAGTTATTAGTTAAATCGGTAGTATTTCCTTAACGATTTAGCTTAGCTTATTAGCTTCTTTAATTCCTTCCCCTATATATACCGCCTTAAGGTATAGTACTACTTTTATTCCTAGTTCTTTTAAGGGTAGAAGTAGTATTAATATATTGCCTCTTATTAGTAGTAGTATCTTAATATCGTTAAGCGACTTATATAAGCTCTTCCCGTTAGTAGGTATAAATAGGTATCGAATAAAAGTTAATTTAGTCTTAAAGTTATAGCTTTAGCTTAGCGAAAAACGTAAGAGTACGCGCCTTTTCCGATAAGCGTTCGAAATACCTTTCTAAGGAGTTAAGGTATAAGCTAAACTCTAAGGGGGACTAGCCTTCTTATTAGCGAGCCTCCTTTAATTATATTACTAATAGTATCTCCTTATTTATAGTATCCTTAATTAAGACGAGTATCTATTCCTTAAAGTATACTTAATCTATACTATATTTAGTTTAGTTAATCGGCGTCTATTTTTTAAGGTATCGGCGCTATCTTACTTTATAGTCGCTATATATATAATCTACCGCGTAAAGGATCTTTATTTCGTTACGATAAAAGCGTCTAAGCGCTGCCCTAAAGGCGTCCTCTAGATTATAAGTCTAGTCTAGACGTTTCTATATATTAGTAGGTTAAGATAATTATGCGATGTTTTTAATCTTAACCTCGCTACCGCGACTACCGTCTAATTTAAGGGAGTAGGACTATCGACGCTTTCCTAAATAGATAGCGATAGCGCTAGTACGTTTAGTAATTTCCTCCTCTAATTATATAACGCGGTCTTATAGGCGTTTCGTCTCCTCTAGCTCCTTAATACGCGCTTATAGGGCCGTAAGCTTTTCTTTATAAGTCGACGGTCTTACGCCTATAGGTAGCGATATCTTCGATATAGTTAGAATATCGTCTATAATAAGGGTCTATTCTAAGGATATATCTTCCGGTTCTTTATCTCCTAAGTAGATACTTAATATATATAATAAAGAGGCCTCGACTAGTTAACTACTACGTCGCGCTATAGGAGCGTTACGTAGTCTTCTTTAAGTAGCTATCTCTACTAAGTAACTAAAAAGGAAAGCTTTAGAAATTATAAGTAAATATATATTACGGTATAATTAGTTAGGTAGTAGAGATAGCTAGAGGTACTATACTATATATATTATATTCTCCTCGTTATAAGACTAAAGCTTATAAGAAGAGGGATTTTTCCTCTTTAGTTAGAGTAGTAAGAGGTCTATAATATATAAGCGGGGTAAGTACGATTCCCTACTAATACCCTACTAATATATTAGTACTACGTACCTAAGTACTTTATTAGCCTATACCTCTTAGTAGCGCTCTTATATAACGATATTATCTAGGCCTACTTAAAAGAGGAAGAAGTAATTACTAGGGAGGCTATAAAAGGCTTATAATAAAGGTATAAGATAACTAAGCTAAGGGAGCTAAAGTAGTTCCTAGGGATATAAATCCTTTAGAATAAGTCCTAACGGACTATCTAGCTTACCTAGGACGCCTATATCGATAAGGTTACTTATAAATTCCTCCTTAATTCCCTAGATAAGAAGCTTCCTTTTATACCTATATTAAATAAAGAGCCTTTACTTAATCTATCCTTTTAAGCTAGGGAGTAAGAGAAATATTAATATTAATAAAAGGTAAGCTCCTTACTTTTATTAGCTATTTTTACTAAACCGGATATCTCTTTTACGGTCTCTTAGCTAGCTAAGTATAACTAGAATCCTAGCCCTAGGTACTAAGAAGTAATAGACTAAGTAATCCTTTATTTCTATTTAATAAGATTATATAGTTTATACCTTAGAGGGTAGGGAAAGAAATTAGCTACTAAAATCTTCCTTTATTTAAGCGATTTATCCTTTATAAATAATTCCTTAAATAGAAAGAGCTTATAAGGGTATATTATATCCCTTTTTAAAGGAACTATTACTTAGAAAGCTTCGAAGCAAGCTACTATTATAACTTTTAGTATAGAAGTAAAGCTACTAGCTCTTTTAAAAGTATTAAAAGAAGCGATTTTCCTTAGCTAGCTATTAATATCTCTATAACTATAAATTCCGACCCTATTATCTATAAAATATAATATTATATAGACTATATAAATTCTAATAGAAAACGTAACGCTATTAACCTAGCTATAGTATATTAATATCTATTAGTATTAGTTATACTAAGAGGTTTAAAGGGGACTTATTTCTATCTATTAAGTTCTAATAGTATTAATAAAAGTAAACGGTCTTATAAAGCCCCTACTAAAGTAAAAGCTAGCTATCTTTTTATAGTAAACTAAGCTAGAAGATATCTATAAGAACCTATCCTTAGAAGCCCGCCTTAAGAGTCTATAAGAGGAGCTAATAGCCTATATAAGAAGGTAATATCTATAGCTAAAGAAAAGGAAGAGTTTTTCCTTTTAAAGGGCCCCTTATTTTAACTAGGTTTCTCCCTTCTAAAATAGCCCCCTTTCTTATAGGACTTTCCCTTCTTTAGGCCCTTATTCCTTAAAGTAGGTCTAAAAAGGCCTAGGGACCTAAAAGGGTCCTTACTTTACTTAAGTAAAGGGATAAGTATAGAGCTAAGAACCTCCTCTATATACCTACTAGCCCGAAGCTATATAAGCTATGCCCTTACTATAAGGGCAAGCTATAGCTAAGGGGGTATATCGAAGTATAGCTTAATTTTATAGTTCTTAGAGATATCTTATAGTAAAGGGCACTAAGGAAGCTAAAAATACCTAGCATAAAAAAAGGAAGAAGGAGCTAAAAGGAGGTATAAAGAGGAAGGTAGGGGTATAAGGGGAAGTAAAAGTAGCGATAGCTTCCTATAAAGGTAGTAAAAGATAAGACGGATATACTAGTAACGGCTAGAAAAGAAGGGAAAACCTAGTAAAAAGCTCGGTAGTTATAAGGATATTAATAGCTTCTTTAAGTAGGATCTTCTTTATTAATTAAGATACTAAATAGGTATAAAAAGGGGCGTTAAATAAAAGAAAGAAGGATAATTAAGGCAATATAATAATCACTCCCTTACTATAATTACTGCCCTTATAAGAATTAAATATCTCTGCCCTACCTATCTAACCCCTTACTTTTAATTTTACCTTTATATATTTTATCCCCTTCTTATATCTCTCTTTATAAGACTAATAGCTATATAAGGCTATACTAAGGGGGGCGTAATACGCTATTCGCGATAGTTCTAAGTATATACTTTTTTTATATTTTAAGCTTAGTTTTAAAAACTTAGCTAAGAAGATATAATAATATTTAAGAATTTATAGCTACTTTATTTATAGTAAGAAAACACCTTTCCTTATATTAAGATAAGAGAGGGGTATATATAAGTATAGTAACTATATATAGCTAGCTAAAAAAGGCTATTAAGATATTCCTATACTTAAGTTAAGCTTATATAATATCCTTAAGCTAAGAGAGTTATATTAGTTAAGTAAGCTCCTTTATATATAACTATTAGGTCTACTAAGTATAACTATAGCTTCTTATACCTACTCTCCTTAATAGTAAGGTATTTAGTTTTTACTACTTTTAGATATAAGCTAGTACTATCCTTAATCCTTATCCTCCTAATTCTATAAATCCTACTAAACCCTACGCACCCTATTTATACTTATAGCTAGGTCGTTATTATAAGTAGAACTAATCGCACTTATATATATCTCTTATCGTACTTACGCCCTATTTTTAAGATATATTCTAACGCTAGCCTGCCCGCCTACTTATACTACGCGAAGCTGGTAAGTATCCGTACCGCCTAAATGCCCGCCGCACCCGCGCTTGCGCCCGCCCGCATATACAGCCTCGCGCGGTACAAGTAGGCGGGGCGGGCTAGCGCTAGTACGTATCTTAAAAAATAGGGCGTAAGTGCGATTAAAGATACGTATAAGTGCGATTAATTAATTCTACTTATTCTTATTAAGTGACTAATGCTATTAAGGTCGCTTTTATAACCGCTGTCGTGCTATGTATGAGCCGTAACTGTCTGACAGTATCTATATAGATATCCTGCCGCGTGCGGGGTATATGACGTATTACTTCTAAGGAGTCTTATAGGTATTACTTAGGTAGCATGGCCCTCTCGAAACGACGGTGGCTACTTATTATACTTAAGTACGTATAATATAGATGTCTCCTATTCCCTCGTAGTCTACTCACCCTCATCTATAAAACACACCACACCCGCAGCATCAGATGAAGACGGGTTCTTTTTTAACATTTCAATAGTATCATAATCGAGTGCTCGTTATATTCGTTTAACATGGCTCAAACCACTTTCGCAGAAATCGCCGCCATGGCAGCCAAGTTAGAGTCTTTAATCCAGCAGCTAGCTGAGACAACCGAGAGCATCCGGAACAACCCCGCTTCGTTTCATGCCTCTACCAATCAGCATGCTAGACTCGCTGACGCCCTCCAAGTCCTCCGGGCAGAAACGAGGCAGCCCACAGACGTGGTTCTTGACCTGCTTCCCCACTTGGCAGAATTGACCGTGTTGCGGCTTTTCATTAAATGGAAGGTGTTCGAAAACATTCCCGCCGATGGTGAGATATCATTCAGAGACTTGGCTTCCAAGCTTGGTGCCGAAACGAATCTCATAAGTAAGTTCGCCTTGCCGGCTACTTTGGTCACACCACAAATCTAAGTTAATGCGCTTCAAGCCCGGTTTGCTAGTGTTCTGGTAGCCAGTGGCGTTTTGAAGCAAGTCGGGTACGATCGCGTTGCTCACTCCCCCATGTCCCCTCTCTTCACATCCGGTTCCCCTGTGAGCGCTTTTGCGCAGATAACGTAAGTCGTGATTTTGGTAAGCTAGTCATTTATCGCGAGGCTGACAAAGTTGAACAGCTTCGATAATGATCTGAGATCACTGCTCGCCATGCCCGACTATTTCGAGCGCTATGGGCTCAAAGAACCTGCTGGCAGATATCATACGGTCTATTCGTTTTCCGCTGGGGACCCTGAACTGACAGTCTGGGAACAAATGAACAAAAACAAGACTAAAATGGCAGACTTCATGACCACCATGGCTGTGTTGGATGAGGGAATAGGAACGACCTATGACTTCAGTTGGCTCCGCCTAGAAGCAAACTCGTCCAAAGACAGAGTTCTTCTCGTCGACGTTGGCGGCGGCCGAGGTCAAGCAGTCAGAGCCATCTGCCAGGCCGTACCCGACCTTCCTGTCAACCGTTGCGTGGTGGAAGATCTCGCCGAGGTGGTTGAAGAAGCGAGATTGTCCGCCGAAGGGGAAATGAAAGAAGCCCAGTTCGTTGCTCTTGACTTTCACAAAGAGCAGCCGGTGAAAGGTACTTGTTCTATGTATATCCAGTTATATAACGATTGCTGACCTGTACTCGGATAACAGGGGCATTGCTGTACTATTTTCGCCACTGTCTGCATGATTACGGAGACGAGGATTCTGTGTGTATGCTTCAACAGATTCGAGATGCCATGGTGGCCGACAGCAGGCTCCTCATTGTGGAACAGATCCTAAGTAACCCGCCGTCTATGATTGGTTCGACAACCGATATTTTCATGTCTAGTCTCGGAGGCAAGGAACGGACGCTTGAATGTTTCCGGTCTATCACGTCCCGCGCTGGGCTAAATATTAAAGAGGTATATCTTTTCGGAGGGTCAGGTGACTCTGTTATTGAGTGCGTGCGGGTGTAATCTGGTCGGAACGCGATTCATGGGGTATTTTTACCAATCTGTCGTGGTTCAGTATGGTCCTTTCAACACGCTGTGATGGAAGGGACTAGAGAGGCACGGCGAACTTGGGGCTTGGGACTCGGGGCCAGTGAGTTCTACCTTGTAATTAGGCAATGTAGCACAGCACTGCGACCGCTAACAAAAAAGCCGCCGTGCATCACCGTATGTACAGCTTCGGAGAGCTAAGACAGCGAATTTCCCCTTTCATGCTTTCTTGGGACCTTAGTGGCCTCTAGATGCTTCCTCTATGAAATATTGATTCCACAAGCTAGCATCAACATCTTCGGTTGCCTTCATGCATAACTTGTCGGGGAACTGCCTTATGTTGACCGATTCACGCGACGTGTGCCGATGGTTCAACCGTGTCACTTGTTAAAGCCCCTTGCCGCCTCAGTCTGATTCGTGGTCATCCTTACGAATGACTACGGTATGGTATGGTACGGTTTTATTTCGCTCGGAGGGAACTCCCTATAGGGCCTTTATACAATCTAGTTACATTTCAGGACATTTAGAACCTGACACCCCAAGCCCCAGGGATAATTGTCCTATCGCTTTGTCACATGCTAGCTAAAGCAGACCTCCGAGATATTTCGGAAGTATACGTTATAAACGGGAGGATGCTATTATATTAAAAGGATCTCGCCTGTTAAGTATTAAATAGGCTCCTTAGAGATTAATAATTTTATTATTAGCCTTTATTCTTTACTCTCTATTTCGCCGTAATTATACTACTTATAGTTTAATCTCTCTTCCTTTTAAGGTATATAGACCGTTAAATAGGACGGATAAAAATTATAGATTTATCGTAACTCTACCGAGATATAGCTAGTATAGTTAGCTATAATTAGATTAAGTCTAAGCGAGCGGTTCTTCCTCTACGTAGACGGCGCCTCTACCCTCTATATAGATAAGTAGAACTAATCGTACTTATACGTATCTCTAATTCTCGCGAAGAGAGATACGAGAAGTATATATAAAATGCATGAAGGTAAAATTAAAAGTAAGAGGTCGGATAGGCAGGGCAGAGATATTTAAATCTTATAGGGGTAGTAATTACGGTAGGGGAGTAATAATTATATTACCTTAATTATCCTTCTTTCCTCTATCTAACGCCCCTCTTTATACCTATCTAGTATTTTAATTAATAAAGAAGATCCTACTTAAAGAAGCTACTAATATCCTCTTAACTACTAAGCTTTTTACCGGTTCTTCCCTTCCTTTCTAGCTATTACTAGTATATCGGTCTTATCTTTAGCTACCTCTATAAGAAGCTATCGCTACTTCTACTTCCCCTCTTACCTCTACCCTCCTCTCTATACCTCCTTTTAGCTCCTTCCTTAAAACCTTTTTTTTAGCTTCCTTAGTCCCTTATACTAAGGGATATCTCTAAGAACTATAAAATTAAGCTACGCTTCGTAATATACCCCCTAGCTATAGCCTGCCCTTATAGAAAGGGTAAAGCTAAATACTTAGGCCGGTAAGCGTATAAAGGAGGTCTTAGTTTATACTTATCTCTTACTTAAGAAATCCGGGTTTTAGCCCTAGGCTCTTTTAGACCTACTTTTAGGAAAAAGGCGCTTAAGGAGGAAATTAAGTATTATAAGAAAGGGGGTCTTCTCTAAGGATAAATCCCTAAAAAGGGGCCTTTAAGAAGAATAAGTCCTAATTAAGCTAGGGGCCCTCCTTTAATATAAGTCCTAGTTTCTTTCTTTAGCTATAGACGTCTCCTTCCTTCTATATACTATTAGCTCTTCTTATAGACTTTTAATATAGGCTTCTAAGGATAGCTTTTCTTAAACGTCTTCTAGCTTAATTTACTATAAAAAGACAGCTAGCTTCTAATTTAGTATAGGCTTTATAAGACCGTTAGCTTTTATTAATACTATAGGAACCTAACGGACGGAAATAAGTCCCTTTTAGACCTCTTAGCGTAACTAATACTAGTAGATATCGATATACTATAGCTAGGTCGATAGCTTACTATTTTCCTTTATAAGAATCTATATAGTCTATATATTATTATATTCTATAGCTAATAGGATCGGAACTTATAGTTATAAAGATATAAGTAGCTAGCTAAGGAAAATCGCTTCTTTTAACGCTTTTAAAAGAGCTAGTAGCTTTACCTTTATACTTAAAGTTATAATAATAGCTTGCTTTAAAGCTCTATAAGTAATAGTTCCTTTAAAAAGGGATATAATATACCCTTATACGCTCTTTTTATTTAAGGAATTATCTATAAAGGACGAATTACTTAAATAAAGGATGATTTCGGTAGCTATTTTCTTCTTTCCTTACTCTCTTAGGCGTAGACTATATAATCTCGTTAAATAAAGATAGCTCGGTCTACTACTTCTTAGTACCTAGGGCTAGGATTCTAGTTATACCTAGCTAGCTAAGAGACCGTAAAAGAGATATCCGGTTTAGTTAAAATAGCTAAAAAAAGTAAGGAGCCTACCTTTTATTAGTATAGGTGTTTCTCTTACTCCCTAGCTTAAAAGAACGGATTAAGTAAAAGCTCTTTATTTAATATAAGTATAGAGGGAGGCTTCTTATTAAGGGAATTAAGGAGGAATTTATAAGCGACCTTATAGATATATACGTCCTAGGTAAGCTAGATAGTCTATTAGGACCTATTTTAAAGAATTTAAATCCCTAAGAACTACTTTAGCTCCCTTAGCTTAGTTATCTTATACCTTTATTATAGGCCTTTTATAGCCTCCTTACTAGTTACTTCTTCCTCTTTTAAGTAAGCCTAGATAATATTATTAATATAAAAGAAGACTATAATTTTACCCTTCTATATTATATATAGTTCCTAAGGGACTTTCTTAAAGCCTAGGGCTTTAAGGGAACCTATTAAATACTATTACTAAAGAAAGGGTAATCTTTATAGTTTATATAGAGCTTTCTTAAGCTATAGAACCTTTCTTAGTTATTAAAAGCTTAGTAAAAGGTATATATAAATAACTTCTTCTTCCTTAAAGGGGTAGTTAATAAAGGCGTTAACTATATCTATCTAATTAAGCTCGAGGTTAAATTCTACTACTATAGCTATAAGGGTCTAAAAAGATATCCCTATTAAGGTAGTTACCTTAGTAGGTAGATCCCCTTTTTCCTATTAATTCCTATAAATATCTAGCTAGGCCTTATACTTTTAAAGGAAGCTATATTTATTAGTCTTATAGATAAAGACCTACTTATAGCTAAGGACCTATTTTCCTTTTACCTTTTCCTTTAGGACCTCTTTAAAAGATCCTATCTCTTTATATAAAGCTAGGTAGTCTTTCTAAGCCTAGAAAAACTAGTCTTTAAAAGGGTGTTTTTCTAGCTATTTTTAATTTACTAGTAGGTCTAGGAGGTCTCTTTTATATACCTTCCTTACTAATAGAGGCTTAAAAACCTAGCCTATTATAAATACTCTATAGGAACTATCTTTTATAGGCGTTAGATAGAAGTCGGAAAATAAATCGAAATAAGAAAGAGGTTAGTCTTCTTTAATAACCGTGTTAGGCCCTATACCTTCCTTTACTTCTTAAAGTAAGGATAATAAGGTAGCTAGGTAATCCTTTAAGAGAGGTGCCTTTCCTACCCCCTTAAGGGTCGAGATAGGAAGACTAATAAAGAAAGCTACTTTTAGATCTTCTTATTATATAAGAGGAGGTATAAGGAGGTAAGCGTATTCTAGCTCTACCGCTTTCCTATAGTCTTTTTCTTTATTTAGATTATTTAATTTAATAGCTTCCTCTTTTTTAAAGCCGGCTTTATCCTTAACTACTTTAATATTAGTTTCTTTTTTTATTTCCTTATTTAAGACCTCTTCTTAAAACTATTAAGAAGGGGTGATTTAAAACTTCTAAATTAGCTAATATTAAGAAAGTAAGAGGGGCTATTAATCCCTCTTTCTATTAAAGAAGCTAGATTTATCGAAAATTATATCCCTAGTTAAAATAACCTTTTATAAAAGAGTAATCTAGATCTAAAAGATATTTATAGAATTATAACTAATAAGGTAACTAATAAAGGCTCTAAGATTAAGCTTTCTTTTCTTTTTCCTTTTTAGCTATATATCGGTAGTTATAATATATACCTTATAGCTATAGGTATAAAGGTAAGCTAGTAAGGCCCTCTTCTTTATAAAGAGCTTAAGGAGGGAATTTTAGTTTATTCCTTAGTTTAGTTCCTTAAGGTCCTTAAGGTCCCTTAGGGTCCGGTTCTAAAGGTAATAAGCGGTCTTAACGACTTCCCTTTAAAGGTTATATAAAAGCCTTATAGTAAGTCTTATTATATAAGCCCTTTCTATTATAGTACCCCTTAATCTTTCTACCCTTTTATTTTAGGCCTAGGTATTTAGTGCTAATAGGAGGGGTATAATGCCCTTTTTTTAAAGCTAATTTAAGATATCCTTTATAAATAGCTCTTTATTAGACCGTATCTTCTTTACCTTATAGCTAAAGTAGGATATTAGCTAGTTAAAAAAGTCTTAAAAGATAAACTAGTTATACTTACTTAGGTAGGTCTATAAGAAATAAGGGAAAACTATCTCTAAAAAGGCGTCTATAAAAATCATTACCTTAATAAAGCTTTCTTAGTCCTTAGAGACGTTAGTTTAGTCGACTTAAATTTCCTTATATAGCTAGTCCGGCCGTAAAAGGATTTATCTAGAAACTCGTTTCTTAATCTTACCTTAGCTATAGTATTTATATTTAATAGTCTTTAAGCCCTTTATTTATACGCCTTATTATTAGCCTAGCTTATATAAAGCTAAGGGGCCTAGGTAACTAAGTCGTCTACGCTAAAGAAGACCGTCTCCTTAGGCTACTAAAAGAGGGTCCTTAGAATAGTACCCTCTTAGTAAAGAAAGCTAACTTCTTAAGAGATTCCTTTTTAAGGATA